AATTTAATGGATTTCCTTCAATGGACAAGTTTACCATTTTTTTGTTATAAGCTTAAATGAAATTTTAGGAAAAAATAAAACAAGATAGCGAAAACATTATTAATTTGTCTGTAAAAACAAAAAAGTTACAGTCTATCAAAGTTGCGCTCCGCGAGAACATTTTTATTCCGCCTGATCGCGACGCGTGACGTCACACTTCGCTATCCAGTTGCGACGGCCGTGGTTACACATAGGTGGATTTCATAATTTAATAAACCATCATTCTGCACCAATAGGGTACGAGTACCAAACAGTCCGTTAAATATACCCAATCAGCCTCAAGATCTCTCCGTCAAATTTTTGGCAGAAAATAGCATCAAGGTATTCAACACAAAACACTGTAAAATATGAATTGACAGCTTGCCATTGAAATCTTTTTAGTTTATCAAATATTATGAAATTATGTAAAACTGAGCCAAAATTTTTAAAAATGCTTGATGTCTGAGTAAAATCTATTTTTTCAGATTAACTGAAGGTTTTCCCATGTTTATTGCAACTTTTGTAATCCATATGTGATTATATCATCTACTGTGTGCTTATAGTTTATCCTACATTTGCAAACTTGCACCCAAATCCTTACATGAAAAAGCCTTTTCACTAAAATTTTTGTTAGGTGTTGCATTTCAACACATTCATACACTTCTTTCCAGTTCCTCAACGATATTTTAACCCCACTGGTCCGAAACTGTTCAACAGTTTCAACATTCATACATACAATTGCAGTTGCAGTTTTTTGTTTCAATTTCAGTGTATAATAAGTCGCACGATCGGTGACGGTACATGGTACATTCAACATAACCACGTATTTAGGGGTTAGTGCAGATTTAACGTGTACGCGACAGTGTAATATGTACTTCTTCACAAAAAAATTTTGGAGCACTTTTATACGGAAATTTGTTGTTAAAAAATTCCATTGTCCACACATAACAAAACAATTGATCACAAAACATAGAATCTAGAAGGAGAATAGACCAAAGGAGATCGGAAAAACCTCTGTATGTAGATATATAAGAGCTTTCTTATATTTGTTCATCAATTTGATGATACAACACGTCTGCTAAAAATGATCATAATCAGGATAGTAAACTATGACGAAGGTCCACTGTATGTAAGAATTTTCAGATACTTCATTTGCAATTTGACAACAGACCATGACGGTGTTCACATTTTTCAAATATTCTTCAAAATGTGTTATCAGTCTAGCTCCAACTATCATAAGTACTATGTTTTGTATTCCTTCTTTAAATTCAAAACCAGCAAATGTAAAAGATTCATGTCGCACCCTTCATCACGGGACGTGATCGTCGTTAGACTTGGCAACCCTGCGAGTAACAGATAGATAACCCCACTAAACATTAATAGTTTTTTTATTTTTGGACTTAAAAGGCATTATTTGTGAGACATTTGCATAATTTTTTGTCTGTGTCCATAGTAATTGCTATATGCATCACGGAGATGTAGGGATTGACACGTCTTACACATATATCTGTGTTTTAGGATGGAGAGGACAATGTTTTTATTGCTTTGAAGGAATTCATTAACCCGCAAATTAATAAACGATTACTATTATGATGTAAAGGAAGATGAGGAATTGGATAGAATGTATTTTATATTCTATTTTCCTGCAAAATACAGACAAATCCACACTATTCAACAGGTACGTAATGATAACGGTATATTGAACTTAAATTCGAGATTGCCATGCATTAACAAACGTCCAAATCTACTGCCAAATTTAACAGCTAGAAAATCGACCTATTATTTGCAGCATTGCCATTGGCTTTTGGGGATAACTGATTGTTAAATGTAAATTTAAACACAAATCAAAATACATGAAAGTTGACCTGTTTTCTCTGTACAAAAGCATCATATTGGAATCAAAAAGTGGTCTTGTTTATAATACAGTCGAATTTTCACGATTTTATTCAATATTTTAATAGAAATCACCGATATTCAGAGACCTTTGACAGCTTCTGTCAAATTGCATTTCGATAAGGTATTTTTCCATTGGTCTATAATATTAATGTTGGTGAAATCGGCCCTTCATGTACGATCGGTTGCGAGTATGAGAGGAATAACAAAGAAAGTTGTTATGAATTTTATAGCGTTCCAAAATGTACGAACATACCAATTACAACCGCTAATAAACATTTTTTCCACGTACCCTCACACGAAAATATCAGGAAGAAATAGTGCAACATACGTATGTGAAGACCACCTTGATATACATGGTATTCCGTAATGCTTTGCGAATATTGAAGGGTGTGAATCTACATGAAAGGTTAATGTTAGTTTGCTTTATAAACTATGGTCTAAAAATGTTTCCTTACAAAAACTCGGGGTGGTGAAGTTTTAGGAAGAAAATGGAAATTAATTAATATTTTCAGAACCGCTTCAGATATTTCACTGATGTTTTGTACGTAGTGAAAGTTAAAAAAGTTGCATATGTTTCAATGCAAAAATAATTTTTAGCTTTAACAGTAGCGTGCGTACGGGTATTGACTTCGATACTTTTTAAGAAAAAAAATTGTACGCCAATGGTTTTTTCCAAATAAAAAGTATTTTTGAATTCCCTGTTCAATTTAAAACAAATGTTCTCTTATGAGTTGCTTTCCTTCGATGCGCCATAAATTATTCAAATGCAGAAATGACGGAAATGTATTACGTATATGGCCTTACCGACGGTAATGGTGAGCAAGCCAGACGGATTTATCACCAGAGATATGCCGATCGTGCTTTGCCAGATAGTCGAACTTTTCTAATATTCATCGTTGTCTTGTTAGAACTGGTTCTGTCTTGGAGAATTTTAGTGGATTTTTTGTTATATCCTTACCATATTTCAAGAGACCTTTTATCAGTGGTATCTTCAAAAAATTACACAAAATCCGTATGGGCAGGAATTATTGGCAACCACTTTATTGGCCCACTCTGTATACAACGATCGAATATGTTTTCTTAACCAACGGAAGTTATTGTATTTTTGTCCCTCTGATCCAACTTTTTTGTTTACATATCAGAAAGGGAAAAATTAAAGAATCAAAACAAGTGTTATGGACAACGTATTTCATCCATTTTTAAACGTATTTTACATTTTATGACTATGTGTCTTGAGGAAGAGAAGAGTTTATTGGTTAGATTGGCGCAGACGGATTAACAACCTACAACATTTTTACACTTGCCCTTCTCAACCCTATTGTGACAAAATGGGTTCCGATGCATTTGAGATGTAAGAATAGAACAATGCTAAAAAAATCTTAAAAATATGAAGAATAACACACGTATAGGTATGAAATTAAAGGAACACTCAGTATTTAGAGTATATTATGAAAGGGGGAAATATGAAAATCTCAGGCAGCTCACTGAAGGAAAAACGGGAGGAAAAATATTGGTAGAAAAACGGCAGAAATATTTCCGTACAACCATTTGCAAGACGCAAATAGCCATTCGGATTCCCAACTTTCGTTTAGAACATAGTTCCCCAAACTTTTTTGTGTCGTAGACCCCTTGCCATGTTTTTCCGTGTTGGGTAGACCCCCTACTTACCTGATATTGATTTCCTGTAAATTTCTAACTGTAGTGAAGTTTAGTCTTAAAAACTTAAAGTAAAAACACATGCTAATTTATCACACATCTATTAATTGAATTTAAATTAAAACTACTCAAAATAAAATTTTGTATCTGTTATGCAAAATATACTTAACATTAAATAAACAGGTGTCTGACCAATAAGTGCCCGCATTGGGAATAAGCGCCCGCATTGAAAAAAAAATAAGAGGGATAAAATAAAAAAAAGTGTAAAATAATAAAAAAAAAGTTTTTTACTTAAAATAGTACAATAAGCGAGTTCGTTTATTAATTATAACATAAACGTATGTTCTACAATAATTTCACTGTTAGTTTGATTAAATTCTGCGTCTTATACGTTTAAGTTATCTAAAAATAGACAAAAAATCCTTGAATTTTCAGAATATTTAAAAAAAAAATATTTTCTATAAAGGGGGGTTCTTTAAAAAAATCAATGCGGGCACTTATTCCCAATGCGGGCATTTATTGGTCAGACACCAATAAACATAAAATAAGCTATAAATAAAATAACATAAGCAATAAGTCAATATTTTTTATGAGAAGGATGAACCTGATGCTTTAATAATAAATTATCAACATTTGGCGTCAATTTTGTAATCTTAAATCTCCTCGGCTAATGATGTACAGTCTGTTTCTTTTTTTCGTTAGGAGATTGGTAACAGCGCTGAACCCCCTTTCCACTAGGTATGACGATGGAAAGGAAATTAAACATTTCCTCGCTATATTCCATAATACGGGATAAGTAACGGGTATGTTGTTTGCAGCCAGAATTGCTGATATCCGTTTTTAAACTGAACCTTAAGTTCTTCGTTTGGACTTAGTTCAGTCAGTTCCTCTTGTATTATGACATTCGTTTCTTCTATGTCACCATATGGATTAATTATCCACGGTGGTATTACCATAGTCAAAATATCCTCAAACCTAGATTCAAAATCTGAATAGAGGGCATTTAAATGTTGAACGTAAGTTGAAACGTCGTCTTCCTGGCAGCTTGTCTGTGACAAATTGGGGAACTGAGAAAATTCGCCCCGTCCAATATTTTGCTTCATCAGTTTAACTACAAGAAACGCTGATAAGATGGACTTTGTTTTAATCAAATTTAAACTGTCGCCTTGTAACTGGAAATTAACCATATTAAATTTTGTAAACAAATCTGTTTTCCTCTTCATTAAATTTCTTTTAAAATGTTATTTTTACTATCCAGAAATTCTAAAATAGTCTCAAAAGTGCAAAAAGTCTTGTCAAACATAAGCCTTTCGACAGCCAGCGTACTTCAGTGTGAAGGAGTAATTGATGAAAGTTGCGCGTTGCTTCGGATTCGGTTTACTGCAACAATGACTAAATGAAGTGATTCATGCAATCTAACACTCAAATTTTTAGCAACTAAATGTTGTCGATGGATGTCCAACCATGGCAGGTGCTCCATCTGTAGCTACTGATATTATATTTGATAAAGGAATTGCTTTTTCAATGAAGTAATCCTTCAAAACATGAAATATTGATTCACCTTTAGTGTCGGTTATCAAAGTTCTTGCGAAGAGCAGTTCTTCGCAGATTTCTTGATTCATAATAAAACGAACGTATGCCAATAATAATGCTGCATCATCAGGTAAAGTTGACTCGTCCAGTTGTATAGAGAAATGGGTCGTTTGCAAATAACTACATAAGAAGCTTTCAATATCAGAACTCATTTCATCAGTACGTCTTTCAACAGTATTGTTGCTTAAGGGAATTCTTTTACTGATATCAGATGCAGGTTTGTGTAAAACAGTTTTTAAAACCTCTTCAACGGCTGGCAAAATTAACTTCTCTCCGATAGTATGCGGTTTTCCGGATTTTGCTATAAGTAACGAGATATTGTAAGACGCCCGCAAACCATCATCATTTCTTTGTGACGTCGAAGCGAACATTCTGTCCAGTGTAGGTCTCTTCTGAAATTTGTCTTAGAGTGTTTGAAAGTATTTCAAATCTTTCTCTGTTTTATCAGGGTGGCATCTTCTCAGATGATCTTGCAGTTAAGATGGTTTCATAGCGTCATTGCCCAAAACTTTGTTGCATGAAAGGCACATAGGCGATTGTTTGTCCGGCAATGATGGAATGAAGCCAAATTTCAAATAATCAACACTGTACTGTCTACATTTCTTTTTAGATTCGGGCATGGCAACAGTCATCTGTGGGCAAAATTAAATTATTTAAATAAGAAAATCCATCGGCTGTATATTAAAAATATTTTTTGATTTTTCCGAAAACATTCCATAATTCGAACATCTTCTTGCAACAATTAGCTCTAATTACGGAGATTGCACTGTAATTATATTACCGATTGCTAAAACTTTCAAAAAGAAACTATTGAGGAGTACTCGTGTAATTTTGCATGATTGAATATTTAACTACTAATAACTAAAGTCATGATTGGCGTAATTTATCTATCTTTGCTAACTACGAGTACAAAACTAAAATTTAATAAAAAATAATGTACTTACTTTTCTCCAGCACTCTCAAACAAATAACACTGACTCACTATAATTTGTGTGATATACTATCTGTTTATATTTTTTAAAATATTTTCTTAGCACTTTCCTTTTCAAGATTCAGGAAACGAATAAACTTATTTGTCCCACATTCGTATTTATAGAGTGACGAATTGAACAAGTCAGTGCAAGGTAGCGAAGCTCTGAGACTGCGACTCTCAGGTTTTTACAAGTTCAAAATGTATTGCGACCACAAAGCGAATACCAACATCCTACAACTTACACAATTTTATAAACATATATAATAAATTTTTTACTCCTTAGGTACTTTTATAAATAATGTATATTTATGTTTTGATATTATAAGATAGTATGATGTAAATAAATAGGTACTATCAGTGTATGTGTTGAGATCCACTGGAAAACAATTTTCGTGCTCAATCGAAGCGAAGCTGCCTTCCGAATGACAAACATCCAAAGAATATGGAAACCATTTGGCTTAATACCTTAAGACTATGGACGTAAGTTTACAGTAACAGTTTAGTTCACTGGATAGATTGGAATACATATCAAGCCACGTACCGTATCGTAGTAAATGTAAATGCGACTTCCTGTGTCGAATACATTATGTAAAGCGTAAAATACTGAAACAAATTTATATGGATCGTTCGACTAATTTAAAACAGTGTCATTTGTTAGCAGGCATGCGGTTACATTATCATTTTGATGTTTGGTAGCAGGTGCTGGCGACAACGCTATCTTCTAATATGTCCTTCTGCATGGGCTTCACCATCAATTGATGACCACTATACTTATTATTAATGACTTGCGCTTTACATCTGTGCTTTTGTTGACTGCTTACTTGAAAGCATTTCGTACGGCTATCTGTGCATATGTTTGTTACCTTTATGCTGTTATTTGGTTGGTCGACAATATACGTGACTTTGAAGTTGAGTCATTAATTTTCAGATAATGATTGCAGAAGGAAGATAAACCAAAATATGTGTGTAAAAAATAAAAAAAATAAAAAAAAAATTTACCTTGTTTTATAAAGTATCCTCCCGACAAGTATTTCAGTGCGGACCTGTATTTGATCGTGAGGTCCCCTGTGAGGTCTTAAGTCACCTGATTCACGAGCCCGTTGTACTACATAAACAAAGACACGAGGGGTTGGTTGCACTCGATTGGGAAACCGATCCGCATAAACATGTGCCATTTTTTATTTCGTTTGAGCCACGCAACAGACACTATTCACACGCGTTACCGACTGACCAGAGATAAACCCTTCGACTGACACTGACTGTAGGTATAACTGAACTGAATAAAATAATTGTAAAAACATCGTTCCAAATTCTTTCGCTTTTTTGTTTCTGATGCGATGAACCGATAAGGCGGATTATATCCGTTGTTGACAAACACGAGCACATGATATTATTATTGAGACAGGGCGGTACTCAAACTTCCAAAGGGCTATAACTTTGTTACTTTAATTTTACCAGAAAAATGGTAAAGGAAAAAAACATTTCTTTTGATCAGATCTACTCACTGTTAAAATAAATGACCCAACTTCGAAGTATTTTGAGTTTGCAGTTTCCATTTAAAACCTTCAGCCCGAAATGTAACACATGTCATGTGATTTTGATTGACATGAAAATAATAGACGTGTTTAGTTGAGCTTTCCCAAAAACAAACAGTAACTAAAATTAGGCTTTCAGGTTATCGGTCAAGTCTTTTAAAGATGAGCCTGAGTCTTGAGGAAGCGCATTCTAATCTTAAAAATGGCGACAAGTGGGTTAAATATGCACCTGACACTTCTGTTGAATAAGTTTTTTATCCAGGTTTTTTCATGGTTTGTTGTTGGATATAAATCGCGCAGATGTTCTGCTTTACCATCTCAAGGCCAAACATATATTATTTTCCCACATGACAAACAATATGGTTCCATTTAGATGTTGAAGTGGTATTTCTCGTGCTTCAGATGCATAACAATGCACATGTAGCTTTTAGGGCCGATTTTACCAACATTAATATTATGGACCAATGGGAAAATACCTTATCGAAATACAATTTGACAGAAGCTGTCAAAGGTCTCTGAATATTAGTGATTTCTATTCAAATATTGAATAAAATCGTGAAAATTCGACTGTATTATAAACAAGATCACCTTTTGATTCCAACATGATGCTTTTGTACAGAAAAAACAGGACAACTTTCATGTATTTTGATATATGTTAGGTTTACATTTAACAATCCGTTATCCCCCTCAGCCCATGGGAATGCGGCAAATAATAGGTCGATTTTCTAGCTGTTAAGTTTGGCAGCAGATCTGGACGTTTGTTAATGCATGGCACTCTCGAATTTACCAACTCCAATATACTGAAAGTTATCATTACATACCTGTTGAATAGTGTGGATTCGTCTGTATTTTGCAAGAAAATAGAATATAAAATGCATTCCATCCAATTCCTCATCTTCCTTGACGTCATAATAGTAATCATTTATTAATTTATGAGTTAATGAATTTCTTCAAAGCAATAAAAACATTATATGTCCTCTCCATCCTAAAACACAGATAATATGTGCAAGACGTGTCAATCCCTACATCTCCCTGATGCATAGGTAATGCAATTACTATGGACATAGATAAAAAATTATGAAAAATGTTTCACAGATAATGGCTTTTAGGTCCAAAAAGTAATGTTTATTGTTTGTCTATTTTTCTTTTTTGACTGGCGGGCATATCTATCTGTCACTCGCAGGGTTGCCAAGACTAACGACGATTACGTCCCGTGGTGGAGGGTGCGAAATGAATCTTTTACATTTGCTGGTTTTGAATTTTTTTCGTGAAAATTTACTAGGTATCATGATTATAAGCATCTTTGGTAGATTGTTCGATCCGGAATGGGAAAGATCTCCTATTTATGAAAATATTTTTGGTATCGTCTAACCGTTGCAATCAGTGCACAAACACTGTGACATATGATTTATATCATAACCCGCTGCCCTATCAATACAAATTTAACGTACAGGTCGCCTAGCCGTGGGGATGCAGTGGTCGGGATGAATATCACGGCAGCAACTGATGATTTGGGCATGTCTGGTAACAACGTATGAAGTGAGACTCCCTAACATCACAAATTTGAAGATTTTGTACAATTTCTTTGAAAATGATGAAAGATATGTCTGATTTGGCAGGGTAATGTAGCAGCCAAATGGCAGTCACACACAGTCCGGATCGAAAGCTGACGATACTCGTGAAATGTATTGATACTTTAAAATATAGGATCGTATCGAACATCTCCACTGTCAAGATGTATAACCCAAGGTACCGACGGAGCTATATTGCGGCGTCATGGAAATAATTTTAAATTTTCATTTGCATTTTTTCAAGTGTTGTGCAATGATTTTGGGATAAATGTTACGAATAGTCTTATAAATCATAGTAGAATATATTTCAACAGTTGGCGGAACTTACGCCACTGGGACCAGGAGGGTGAAACGGGATATTAATGCACAATCTGGCAACCCTGTCGCACCCTCACAAAATGGCCGCTGATAACCACACAAGTCACCGTGTTGTCATTGAATAGCATGGAATTAAACCTTCAGAGTATATGTTTTGTAACTGGTACCAAGAGTTGACAGATCCCACACATGTGTCACTCCTTGAAATGCAATAATCACCTGTATTCAAATAATGTCTAATATAAATATAACCTAGAATGTGTACTCGTGAAAAAAGAAAAATATGGCAAATTTGTAGTTTTTTTGCAGGTTTTAGGTTCGCTGGTAGCTTTAAGGTATATATTTGGGAATTTCTTAATCGCTGTGAATATAGTGTGGATGTTTATTCAGTTCCTGAACAACGAAAAATAGTCAACTTTATGGATGTATGGATATCAAAAAACCTGAATGGTTTTGTGGGAATATCAATCTAAGGTGTCATAATGGTACTGATGAACGGCAAGTAAATGAATGAATGTTTGGAAATGAGCAATATCTTTTGGTAGTGCCTGTCATCAAGTAGGTGCTTAATGGCTATCTGCAAGAGGTTTACAGGAAAAAACACCCAGTATCAATTGAAGAAAATAATATAAACATGAATAAAAAGTCAACAATAGTAATTAAAACATGAATTTAATTCAAACATCAAACATTTCTTAAAATTTTGACTGAATTATATGTAATTTCTTAATATTCAATAAGCTGGTGATGTTTCAATGACAAGTTGTCATCTCATACTTTGACAGTGTTGTGTTCATAGCTATTGGTTGCTAAAATTTGTTGATTGGAACTTGAAGCTCATTCGCCGTATTTGACGGTCTGTGACCCTATACGTGGAGAATAACGGACTGTTGTTGGTGAAGTTGGCCCTTAGTCGAATATTGCATAACAATTAACCGGGTGTTACGACACCACCTTTGGGAGGGTGTTCGTGG